AAAAACTTTATATATTCATTTATCACATTAATAAATAAAAAATCAGTGATAAATATAGCACATGATTATTTGATAATCTGCATAATTCTGGTAAACAAAAAGTGTTTGCATAATTTTAATCAGCACCTGTATTAGTAATAATTATTAAAATTATATTATTTATTTAATACTTACATCTGCAAATGTCACATTTATATCTTGCCACCTTTCAACATAATAAACTATCACAACTTCATCTTTGCTTATTGGTATATATTCAATAGGAGTTAATGAATGCAAGACAGTTTTAATGGTTATTTGTTTCGTAATATATATTTCAGAGTTTTCCTTCAAATCAAGCATTGTATTATTTAACTAAATTAACCAATATTTTTATTATTTTATATATATCTATAAAGTAATATATATCTATAAATAAACATAATAATAATAAAGTACCTCCATATTTAAGTCTTCTTCATAAATAATATCCTCTTCATTAATAACTATAGATGATATTTTTAATTATTGTTTAACGTGAACTCTGAATTGTTACAATAAAAGGTATTTGAACGCATGAGAATTTTTTCTCTTACTTATATCATATTTTAATATGTCACGTTATTATCTGTGACATTGTATCACTAACTTTATCAAGGGGTATTACATAATATGTATTAGTTATTTACCGCAAAATTAGAGATATTATCAAGTGTCATAGCACAGCTGTGACCCTGATGATATCGGTGATTGAGTGGTAAATAACTATTATATTTCCTGATTACTAACGCCCGTGATAAGAAAAATCACATGAATTATATGATTCACATGTTATTATGATGTAAAAATAGATGTTTTTTTTACATCATAAATAATTTTTTTTTTTTAAAATTTTTTTTAATTTTATTTCTTAAAAATGAAATTAAAGAAGACCGTAAAATTTAATACTGCTCGTGAAGTTTTAAACAATCCAAGTTTACAATCTAAAACATACAAAAATACTGACATTGAAAAGGCAATTTTATTTTATCAAAACAAGTCACGAGTTCAAAATACAGAA